AACCAATATAGCAACGGCCTGCATAGCGTTTCTCAGGACTTTTGCTGCATAATAAATAAACTCCATAGAAAAACGAGGTAGACATGCTGTTGAACTAAAAAGAAAAAGATATTTTCCAATTTGGTTTTTTCCTTTTTATACCCGAAGGAGCTTGTGCACAAGGGTATTATAACTCTGTGCGCATAACAGATGTTCAGAATGGACGCAAACATTTTCTACGTTTAAGACTAACTAAAAATTAAAACACATTAATTCATTTCAAATGAAGAAAAGTGTCGAATGCTTTTAATATCACTATTTAAATAGTGTTTACAATATAATTAAATTAATTACTAACTAATTAGAGGAAAGCAGGTTAAATTCTTCAACACCATCACTCTGTTCAATTATTACTATTGGTTGAGGCATTATTTCCATTTGGCATACCCATCGCAGCATTGCCAACACTTTGCTGCTGCTGTTGTTGTAGTGCTTGCGGTGGTGGTTGCTGCTGTTGTTGTTGCTGCTGCTGTTGCTGCATCTGCAACTGTGCATTATTAACCATTCCGTTTTGCAAGCCCAAAGGTGCATTAACACCACCCGGTTGCTGTTGCCCTTGTTGCTGCTGTTGATTCTGCTGTGCATTTTGTTGTTGCTGTTGCAGTTGCTGTTGTGGATCCATTGCAGCTGGATCAGCAGCATTCATTTGGCCCATACCATTCACGCTGTTAAACATCTTTATGCGTTTTCGTGTATAATGTTGCCACTGCAAAATGGCTTGATCATCGATAAACTTGCAACATTGCGAATTGACAATTTCACGGCGAAAATGTTCGTATTGTAAGAGATCCAAAAAGTACAAACACATCGGATACATTAAGTATTTCGCATATTCGGGCTCTTTCCAATACTGTAGATATTTGAGATAGTTAATAAAAGCTTGATCCTTAAAATAACCGCGCTGAGCTAAAACTGAGGGAAAAATGTTGTGTATTATAATGACTGTTTTTATGGAATGAATAAATTTACTCACAGTTCAAATAGTTGGGATTGGCCAGACACTGTACGAATTCAAGTTCAACTTGCCATCGCAATTTTTGTTGATCCTCGGACTCGATAGCCGCTATACAAATGAGGGGAATAAGAGAAATATGTATTTTTAAATGAATTTTTTCGCTTTTTATTTACTACATAGTACTTATGTACAAAAATATGTTTGTTTATTTATATTGCAATAACTATTATATACATTTTTTTCTATTTCAAGAAATTAGCAAAACTAAGCTTAGAAATTAATCCAGAAGTTATTGTGTTAGCATTTCTAATTATGAAATTTTACTATACAACGGATTACGATAGATGTTAGTGCTGTCAATGGCGAGTTTCGTTATTGATTTAAATATGTAAATAAAAATTAGCAATTTACTTACTCTTACCCTTTCCATACATCTTGGCCATCGTGCATGGAAGGGCCCGGTTCTGTTTCTTAATGGTGTTGTTTCTAATTGTCAACCGAACAAGCGCCTCCGCTAAGACGCAGACGCACAATAACCTTGGACCGGAAAGTTGTAATCGGTTGAGACGGTGGTGGTTGTAGTAGCAGTAGTTTTTTGGTTGGTTTGGTTTTGGTGGTGTGGTGGTGGAAGATGGTGGTAGTGATGGTTATGTTTGTTGGTTGGGTGTGATGTTTTCGTAAACTACAATACTTATATGAATTAGAGAGTTGGTTTAGCCTGTCCTAGTGTTTGAACGTGTTTGTGGTCGATATGATTAACTGCACGTACAATTAACGCATATGCAAGTGTATTACGTGGAACACAAATTAAACATACATACATACATACATATATACAATAATAAATTTAACTTGCAGCAAAGATGCTTTAGGCGCACGATGCAATAGCTCAGCCGTACCCAAACGCTTTGTTGGGTGAATATATATTTAAATCGCGGAAGCCAATGAAATAATATTCTATATATTTACATTTAACCCCAAGGAGAAAGGAGCTGTCGAAACATCGATTAAATTAATTTTTAACGTTTTTGTTATAGAAAAAGGGAAAATATACATATGTAGGTAACGTAAAGGAATAGCGCGCTAGTGGGGATGGCGCGGTGCAAGGGAGCACCCGCATTTTGATATGAGACAACTACAGATTTTGTAAAGTATCCACAAAGTTACACTTTGAATTTTCATTCTACAAACCGTATGCGTTCATTGCCCAAATGCAGCACAAGTTTTATTTATGTTTGTTTCCCCTTCAACTGTTAAATAAAAATAAATTTCAGCATACGGACAGAAAATTGCAGAAAACTACTATCAACAACAAAACTTAAAAATTTCTGAACAGAACAGGTGGAAAGATATCGGTGATACTATCGATGTGACGATAAATTTTGTTTCCCGTATATAGAAATGTCGATATTTTGTCATATGTTGAAGTAATTTCTTTTGTTTCAAAGAAATCCATAGCTTAGCACCACATTGACCGTAAATATTTACTAAAAAAACAGAGAAGTTATTCAAGATTAACGTACTGAAGAGCGAAATAAACCTCCCCAACGGCTTGTCAAACTAACTTATTTGGAAGAAAAATATTTTCCCTAAGTTCAAATTATACATTCGCTCGATAGCATTGATACAGCGTTATCGATTTTTTTTAAGGCAAAGGTCTCCACTGAACAGTGTTGAGGCTTTGTGAATACATATCAGCACACCTTCTTCAAAAGAGGCACAATTCAAATATCAGATCCAGAAATAAATGCAGCTTGTGGATCGTACATATTCAGCGCAATTAATATAAAAACTGATATAACAGTAGTTTCCTTGTTAAAGAATATAATCAACAAGAATTGGAATTGGATTTGGAATTGGATTGGAAACCAAATGTAAATAAATTTTAAATATGGACTTGGATACGAAAAGTGAACCTCTTCGGGGAAAATGAACTAAAGGCTGATAAATTAAAACGGAATTATTTGAATTTTTAATTCCTGATTTCTAGCTGCAGATTTTATCAAAACACAGGAAGTATTTAAATGCAGGGTTGCATTTGCTCCTTATTAAATAACAAAAATTGGACATATTTCCACTTGAAATACTTTTCATAAAATTTAAATATAAACCTACAAAATTAAGATAGAGGGCGACAGACTTAAAGCACATGTAATCATGTTGTTTCACACTAGAATGACAGAGCAATTATTGTCACGGTTTCACACTGGATGAAAACTAGCAGAACAACAGCAGAACAAAATGTGTCTACGACATTTAAAAGAAATTCTAAATTTTATAGAATTTTAACAAAAATTGTTCATCTTCCTCAATTTTTATCCGCCCTCCTATACACTCGTTGAAAACTAAATTATAGCGAAATTTAAAGTTAACATAATCTTCCACTGTAAACGCAAAGATACATATTTTACGTTCCATTGTAAACACGATATTATAACCGAACGAATGATTTTCGTTATTTCTACTTTCCTTTTTCTTTATTTCTCCACTGTCAGCTAGAAGTGATTTTTACACTGACCGTGGTAAACAATGAAAATTTTCGGTATCACCCTAAAATTTAATGCATTTTAATTGTGCAAGTGTTAAAAAAGTCATAGGAAGGTAGCTGGAGCACTATCCCTGTTTGGTAGCACCAGCAGCATTGACTAAAAATCTCATTCTGCTATAGTAACGGTGACGAAAAATGTTCGAGATACGTAACAAAAACACTATGGTGTTCAGCTCCATGGTTAAGACCATAAGGCATAGTGTGGTAGGCACCTATCCCTCTTGTCATGTGCCAACGCGTCTGGATGAACGGCGTGCCAAGGCGCGAGCACTACGCCAAGAGCGACGACGCAAACCAGACAAGCCGGACGATTTCGTTACTTACGACGATTCCGGCAGTGATGAAGAGACTCCACAACAACAAGAAGAAGTGCTGAATACTTCATTTAATTTATGCGATTACTTACGTAGTCGTGAGACTGGTTTAAAAGAGGTAACATTGATTCGTTGGTTTTTGTTGAAAATACACGGATAAATTTTGGTCTCAATCCTACAGCAACGAAGCTTCAATTTCGAGAACACTAGCCGCTATGTCCTTACGCATGATATGTTACGAGAAACTCAAATTCATCTGGGTTATATCAATAAGGTTTTCTGTTCCAAATGGCTGAGCAATCGTCAAGTTGTCTTCGGCACAAAATGCAATAAGGTGACAAATTTAACAATCCAGTTACTGTATTTTGTTACATATTGCGTTTTTACTCATAGTTACTTGTTTATGATGTGAATATGCGCCGCGTGGATGCCATTCCAACGCTTTCGAACAACCGAGCCAACCACCCAGAGGTGCAGGGTGGTTTACATGCAATTGAAATTAATCCAAGTCGTTCATTCCTAGCCACTGGCGCACGTAACTCAGCCGATGTGGCTGTTTACCGACTTCCTACTCTTGATCCGGTTTGTGTCGGCGAGAACGGGCATCGTGATCTAATTATGGGCATGTGTTGGTTGGATGATCAATTCTTGGTATCGGGCTCAAAAGATTCGCGCCTATCGCTTTGGCGCATCAATGAAGATCTCATGGATTTCCCAGATGGCGGCAAGGAAGCATGTCCTACCTTCGCCACTATTAATCCACTTTGTGTGAAAGATGTGCGCACAGCCCAGCGGGTAAATTCAAATGATATGAGCATATAGATAAATATAACTTTGTATCGCTCCTAGATTCGTTCACTTTGTTTCAACAAAGAATTTAAAGAAATTGCAGCACTTTCACTAAATGGTTATATACATATATTCAATGCGGAAACGTTCAAACAAAAGTTATCTCGCAAACTGCCAAATTGTCAAGATAATGTGAGCATAGCATACCACAGCGACGGACTTTATGCTGTCGGTTGTCGCTCTTATACCATACTTTTGGACGCTCGAACACTACAGGTGTTTGCTAACGCATAATTATTTATATTTACGAATTTTTCACTTACGTGTAACGTAAATTTAATTTATTTATTTATTTTTTGACAGACAATCAAAAAGATCACTTCGCGTTACAATGGCTGCGGCATACGTGCCACAACATTCGAAGGTAATCTGCTCACTGTCGGTACCGGTCTGGGTATGTTGCTCTTTTACGATATACGAGCAGGTAAATATTTAGAGAGCAGCGTAAATGCATCACGTACTGTGGCGCTAAAGTGTAGCAAAGGTATTGTGGTGAGTAGAAATTCGCGAGACGACATTGCAGAGCAATAATGTTATTATAAATATGTCTTTCTATAAAATTTATGTTTTTAGTATCCTGAAGATGAAATGGATGGCTTCCAACAAGTGAAATATGTACCAGCCATTTACACTCACTGTTACGATAGCACTGGTATGCGTCTATTTGCAGCTGGTGGTCCACTTCCAGCTACACTTGTCGGCAACTATGCAGGCGTTTGGCAGTAAAGCACTGAAGCAATAATAACTACAAAATAGATAGCTGTAACTTAGCTAAAATGTTCAGATATTCGTATCTGTGTGTGATTATTGGAAGTGTTTCCAATTTTATTATTAAGGCTCATTATTCAACTAGTAGGAAAATATTTTCTATTAATACGAGTTTCTTTTTCATGATTGCATGCAGCCATAAACATTTGCTAGTATCCTTGGCTGGTAAAATGTGAATAAAAACGTATAATCATTCCCGTTCATGGATTGGTCACTATAATAACTGTTATTTTCACGTTGCAGCTGCGATTAATTGAGCCCCGTTACCTATTCCATGTGAATAAATCGCTCCCAAAGTTTACATACAATACCAGAGCCCACTTGTCTCCACAAGGTCAGTTTAACTTGTGTAATGGTTGCTTAAAACAACCTAAAGGAATCGATATATGTTCCGTTTATTTTGAATGTGGTATAGACATCTATGTAGACATATGTACATTCGGTTGGCCCTTATTTCGAAAAGAGCTCGGATTCACGGTCTCACCCCATAGAAATGTGTGAATAGCCTAAAGACTAAACTATACAAAGTTTTAGGTCAATCTAAAAAGATTTCCTATGTATTTTATATGCCGAAAAAACACTTTCGTAGAAATGGTACAGAATCCTTGAAAATCTATATTTTTCAGTCCACAATTTCTGTTTCTCTTCAGGAGATTTAAAAAAAAAACCTACCCAATTGGTTATTTATAATTTGTTTAATATTAACAATTTTTTGTGGGTCCGCCATTGCATTTTTTAGGGGTTTTTGGGGAGCCATAAAAATGTGTTAGTATTAATAAACCTATAAATAAACAATTGGTTATTTTTTCTGGAAGTCTCCTAAAGAGAAAAAGAGTTTGGCCATTGAAAAATATTGATTTTCAAAATTTCTACGAAATTTTTTTTCGCCATATAAAATACATGGAAAACTTTGAGCGCTTTGAGCCACCTCTAAATCGTTTTTGATTGAGCTAAAACTTTGTATAGTTTAGTGTTTAGGCTATTCACACATTTCTAGAGGGTGACCGAGAATCCAAACACTTTTATTTTTCGCCATATAACGTAAGGGCCATGCTTATGTTCATACATATATGTGTATAGCAAACTACTCAGAATGAAACAAAGAATCAATGTCTGTCTGTCCGGCCGCCTCGGCACATGGCAACTCGAGTCAAAATTGGGATATTTAAACGCCCACTTTTATCGGGCTAAGGACATTGGTATTGAAAATCGAACTATAACCATGCATCGGAAATTTTTGAAATCGAAAAAAAACACTCGTGCGACAGGTATATAAAGCTCGGTTTGGCCCGAACCCCGAGTTATCTTCTCGTTTTAATTTTGGCCCAACCCTATTTTTTTTTTTTTTTTTGTACTTAGCTATGTAGTTAAAATCGTTTCTTTAAAATGAAAGTCGCTTATTTCTTAATTTTAATGTACAGGGCAACATAACGCACCATAAATTTAAGTAATAAGTGACCTTTATTTTAAAATTTTAATCAATTTTAAGAAGTTAAGTACAAAAAAAATAATTGGGTTGGGACACTTCTGTTCTCGTGGCCTCATATGACTATATTTTATATTTATTCACATTGAATTCTCGACAACGCTAATTATTAATTTTTAATTATAGTTTAATTAAAAGAATCTACTTTCAAAATAAAACTTTAAACATTAATTCGTGGTTTAATTTTCTGTTTTTCCCACTGAAAATAAATAAAAAAATAGAAACTGAAAAAAGTACATTTTCATTTGCATTGCATACATTTAAATTTTATTTTGCTTTATTATATACACTTCTTATTTTTTTGTAAGGGTCTTTTTCTGCTTTATACAAAGTTAATTTTGAAGATATAATTTCATTATGATACACACACAATTTGCAATGCTTTATCTGCAAATACATATACTTTGTATGTATGTACATGTGTAATAGGTAATATATGTAAGTAATACAATTATTGATCCATAAAACTTACACTTTAAGTAAATCGCTTAGAATAAATAATTTTTTTGCAAACAAGTCATTCGTGATAATTTTGAATATATTAATTAAAATATATAATTGCATTTAATTACATACATACATACAATATAATACATATTGATACAGGTAACAAAAAACATTAAGAATGAATCGAAATTGTCGACTTTTGTGTAGCACGAAAAGTGTAAAGCTTTGAAAATAACTACTGGAGAATTGCCAATAAACGCTGGAATACTTGCAAAAATACAAAATAGTGGTTGTGTTTCTTGACTGCGAGTTTGATGCAGTTACGGTGAGGTGTGCTTTCTATCAATTTTCTTGATATGGTCATCTCATTCAAAATAGTACTTTCTTCGCTGGCCACAACTAAGAAGGTGGTTGTCGTTCGTATATTTGTATTTTTATTTCAATTATTATTGCCACCACCACCACCAGTACCACCGAAAATTGGAAGAAAACTACCCCAACTGCGCCCCTGTGATTCCGTGGGTACTGTAAAATAAAGAAAAGTAAACTTTAATTTTTTTTTCAAATTATGAACATACAGATAAATTACTAACATTTCTGTCCTTTCGCCACACAGTTTAGAATTTCTTTTTCGTTTCGACTCAATTTAAGTATGGTATTGAGAACTGGCACCAGGCGTACACGCTCATCACCGCTGGTCAACGTAAGGAACTGGAAAATAAATGGTTGATTATAAGAAAATTTAACTTCGGGAGTCACAACATAAATTTTCAATCCACTGCAAAGCGATTAGTCCGTTCTTTTTTCTATGCAGTTACAATGGCAAAACCGTATTCAATCTAGCTTGAGGCTTGAGTCTCCGTTTTCGGTCTGTAGGCAACCCATGTGTGATTTGCGGTAATAAATTCGTGTGGAGTGTTGGGCCACAGCGGAAAGAAGGAGAACTTCAGGAAGGGGGCGCCAATATGACTTATTCGGCCTGTTGTTGTTGTTGTTGTAGCGGCCTCTTAATACTCGCCTCGTGTGCGCCAGGAAGAGCGACAAAAGTTCAACTTCGAACTGTTTAAACAAACAACTTCTCAGAGCCCTTATTTCTTCCAATCCCTTCGTGGCATTTCAAATGAGGTTGATGGGTACTGCCACACACGCAGAAATAACTGGTATTAATAACGAAGGGTCCAACTAAGTCAGCAAATCGAATGAATTCAAGATCGCGACTACTTTTTGCAGAGAAATCTGCTAACTTACGTTATAGAGGGAATGCTGTCGATTGGCGATACAAGTAGTGCGTTTGGGGGGAAAACCCAGACCACGACGGCGAGAATAGCAATAATGCTGCTTAGAAGCAATTTAGTCCCTGAGCTGGCGGAAACTACCTGGCAGGCGCATATACCTATGTATGTAGATTAGGGTGGTATTTTTATTTTTGTCAAAAGCGTATAGCAAAACCGTAATCTACTCAGAATTCTAAGAAAACTTCCCCAAGAAACTATGTGTCTAAAATAAAAACCAAGCTACCGCCGAGAGATACAAATACATATATTCAGTGGTGTTAAAATACCTCAAACTGAAATCTTTAGCCTCTCGGGTATTTTTCTTAAAATTTAGCGTAGAGTTTGTATTTGCTATACGCATTTCGCATTTTTTCTCACCCGAACAATTTGACCCACCCTAATGTACATACCTTAGGCTGCTAAGTGCAATTTGGGCTGATGAATACACTCCCCAAATTTAAAACTCGGTCACAAAAAGCCTTCTACTCGGCATTTGAGGCAACGTAATCAAGGGCGCCGTTGAACAATGGAGGGACCACTTGCATAAACACTTATTTACATACAACTGACCCAAATTCGCACAGAAGACTTCAAATTTGCGAACGGTTGTAGTGCCAAATAAGAAATGAATACAAATCTAAGCATATCCGCATACGCTTACTTCACAATTCCGCGCAAATATGCATACATACATACCTTCAGCACGATATTCTTCAAGTACTCGGCATTGTGCATATGTTTCTCACGTTCAACAGCACGTTCTTGCCGTCGTAGTTCTTCCTTCAACATATCGTTCATCTGAGTCAACTTTGCCAAATCCTGTTCGTTTTCAGCTAAAAGCGCCGTCAAATGACGCACGTGACTGTCTTGTTTTGCCAAAAGCTCCCGCGTTACATTTAATTCCACAAGTAAGCTATCTGCGCTGCTATTGCCGGCACTCAATTCAAATACGGCGCTGTTATTGCGCCCAAGACTATTACTACTTATCGTGGTTACTGTGTCAGTTTGGAAAGCATGCATCGGCGTATTCAACAATTCATCTAATGGCATAAAGTCGTGCTGTGAACGCCGTGAACTGCTGGAAATTTTACGCATGGCTTGCGTATTACTGCTGCCGGCAACGGTTACAGCGACGGTACTTTTGTTCGCAGTCAAAGTAGCTTCCTCTGAGCCTTCGCCATCCTCGCGCTCAGCCAGCATTAGCAGCTGCATTTGGTTTGGTTCACTGTAGGTGGGCGCGTAAATTAATGATGAGTTTGTCGTTGCTACTACAGCTGCACCGATTATAGGCGGCACCCGTGCGCTTTGAACCTGTTCGGCACGTAGCTGCTCGATCTGTCGCTGATAATTGGTTTCAAGTTCCAGCAATTGTTGTTTGTGGCACTCTTGTGTCGCTTCCAATTGTTGACGCTGCGCCCGCAGGCTCTCCTGCTGTGTCTGTAGTTGGGCGCGTTGCTCCAGCAACAGACGGTCGTTTTGCTGACGCAAATTATCCACCAGTGCATTTAGCTCTTGTGCGCGTCTCTGCAGGTTTTCATTATCTAAATATAAGTCGGCAGTGTGTTGTTCTAAGTCGTTTAGTTTTTTAGTTTGCGCAGCTAGCGTTTGGCGCTGTTGTTCTTCGGTAGCGCGCAACTGCGTCAGCTCCTCTGTCAACTCACGCTCCCGCGTCGTATCGGTGCTCTGGTGTTTGCGCAGCACAGCTTGTGCTTTTTGTTTGTATTCGGTGTGTTCGGCGCGCAAGTCATCTAAGGCGCATACTACGTTGTGCAGCTTTGATTGCGTTTCTTTAAGACTCGCTTCCGTTTGTTGTAACCGATGCTCTGCTGCCTCCTTTTCGCGCTGCTCTGCAAGTACAGCTGTGGAATTTTCAGCTGCGCATTTTGAAACCTCCAAACGTATTTGTTCTAACTCTTGCTTGAGCTGTTCTTGGGTCTGCTCCAGCTGCTTATTTGTCTGATTCGCCAGCTGCTTGGCATGCACCGCATCCTTCAGTTGTTCTTGGAGCAGGTCTACTTGTTCCTTTAGTTCTCTAGCGTGTGCCACTTCGGCTTCTTTCGCCGACTCAACTATTGCGATTTCCTTCCGCAGTTGAATAATCGTGTTTTCCTTGGTTGATAAGAGTTTATTCAGTGCTTCCAATTCTGCAGTTTTAGTGGCAAGCTTGCTGGTGGCTTCGTTGAGGGATTTTTCAGCTGCTTCAATTTCAAGATTAAGTACATTTGCTTGCTTGCGTGATGTCTTCAACTTGTGATTTTCCGTTTTCAAAGTTTCTACGAGTTTTTGGTGTTCGCCGTGCACATGCTTCAGGTCTTTTAATTGTTTACGCAGTTCCTCTAGTTCCGCATTCGACATTTCATGCCTTTTTTGGTGCTGTTCCCACTCCTCAATTTGCACTGTTTGCTCCTGCAGTTTTTTCTTCAACTTAACAGCAACGCCGCGCATTTTGTTGTATTTCTCCTCGAAGTTTTCGTCGACATCACGCATGCGCGTCATTTCTTCGGCGCGTGATATTGTAGAGGTGGACAATACCTCGCTTTGTGCGTCAGCGTTGCTACGCAACGATTGTATTTCTTCATTAAGTACACGCAGCTGCTCCTCGCTGCGTGTGCTAGCAACTTCAAGCTGGTGCGTTTGTTCACGAGTCAGATCGATCTCATGCGTTATTTCCCGCACTTGCGCTTCTTTCTCTGCGATTGCTGCATCCTTCTGCACGAGCACTTCATCAATTTGCCGCAGTCTCGCATTGGTTTTTCGCAGCTCATTCAGAAGTTCCTGCTGCTTTTCCTGTTGCCGCGAAATGACATCGCCGCGTGCCTTCAGCGCTTCGTTTAATTCGCGCATTTCACAAAGCAGGTCCGAGTGCTCGCGCTCCATTTGCGAATAGCGTGCCTGTAATTCTACGTAGCTTTGTTCCGTTGCTTTTGCGCTTTCTTCTGAAGCTCGATTTTGTTGAATCTGTTCGCTTTCTTGATGCTTCAGTTGTGCTAAAAGAACGGTTTTCTCATGTTTAAGCGATTTTAGTTCGTCCCGTATTTGCTGCACGTCTTCATGTACTCCTGGGCTTTCCTTTAGCTTGAGCATTAATTGCGCTACTTCATTCTCCAAGCGGTGTTTTTCCAGATGGAGGATTTCCACTTTATTGCACTCCCGTTTTAAACTATCTCGTTCATTCTCAATTGCCTCGAGTCTGTGCAGTAATTCATGATGTTCTAAATGTCCTTCGAGCTTCTCAATTTCGCCTCCCTTTAATCGCAGATCACTGACTGCTTTTAAGTCGGACAACTCCAGAGTCAACCGTTTAACCTCCGATTCAAGTAGCTCAAATTCCAGCACTTTTTCTTTGGGAGCCGTAACCATCCCATCCAAATTGGAAGCTGTGATTTCTTTAAGTAGCTCTTCGTTTTTCCGTTGCGATTCGGTTAAAAGCGCGTCTTTTTCCAAAGAATCGGCGCGTACCTGCGCACAAAGATTTTCCAACTCCTGCAAATTGTCTTGTAGTGCATTAAAATTAATCACTAAGGGCTGGGAGCTTTCCATAGCAACTTTTTCTGATTGTTTTTGCAACTTTTGCCGCAGATCTTTATTCTCTAACTGCAGTGCATTCATTTGCGCGCATAGCAATTTTGAGGCTCTTATAATTTCTTTTTGCCACTTTGATATAGCTTCTGCGTATTCATGCTGGGTTTCCAAAAGCACACGCTTACACTCCTTCAAGTTTTTAAGCTTGCGGTGAATTTCTACAAAGCGATCTTTCAACGCGTTGAACTTTTGCCGCTGTTGTGTGTTAATTTCCTTCACCCGACTATACTTTCGGGAGAGTTCCTCCAATGCTTGTTTCACGCCGTTTTCTTGCTCCTTTAGCGCCTTATTTTCTTCTTCCGTTATAGTTACTTTACTCTGTAGTGCGCTATTTAAACTTTCTGCCTCTTTTAGTTTATTTACTTCAAGTTCCAACAAACCCAAGTGTTTCTTTTGCTCCATACCCAAAAAGTTTACCTGCAATACAAAATTTCTTTATATCTTTAAAATTAGTAAAAATCCCCAAAATAACCTGTTTAAGCTGATCCTCCATTCGGTCTATATCTTTCAAAAGAGCTTCATTGTCTTCATTAAGTCGATTCAACTGACGTTTCAATGACTCGTTCTCAATGCGTAGTTTAGTTAGTGTCTCCTCGTCCGTTTTACTTTTTTTTTGAAGCTCACTGAACTCACCGATTATCTGAAGCTTCTGCTCTGTAAAACGTTCAAGTGTCTCCTTCATAGTCAAAAGCGATTTCTTGTCAGCATCTTTTTGAGTATCACTTTGAACGAGCGCTTCCTTCAATTTACGATTCTCTTCCGCAAACTCTGCATTTAAATGATGATGACGTTGTTATATTTTTAAAATAAGCAAGCCAAAGAAAAGTTAGTTTGTTGATGCATTTTTAAATAAGTATATAAATATGCATATAGTCACCATCTTTAGCTTGTTTCGCCTTCTTTGCAATACCCAGAAGTCCTTTGTATTTTTGAAGTAACTCCTCCCTGCTCAAGGAGTCAATGGGATTTCTCTAGATTGCACAGAGAAGGGAGATATACAAAATACGATTACAAGACGGCAATTAGTAGTAAAAGCTAACGTACTGTAGGTCCTGGTGTGGCTTCCAGCTTCTCCTCCATTGTTATGATACTCAGTGGCGTTTATAGGTGTTTTGTACTACTTATTTTTCTGGCCAACAATTTTTATTCGACTACATCAGAGTTGAAAAAATCAAAACGCAAAACGAAAAACGACACCGTCGTCAGAAACGTCAGAAAAGTCATTAAGTCATATTGCCACCCGAACTTAATTTAGGGCGAGCGCGCACTTGCGGTGTTTTGCTGTGCGTCTAAGGCAAAGAACATAGTGACGCGACACAGAGAGCGACAAGACATTTTCTGATAATAGCGAAGAAAAAGACAAGAAACGTCAAAACATAGTGAAGCGCCATGAACCAATTAGAACAGATCTGACCGGTTGAGAAGCAGCCATTTGTAATAGCAATTGAGAAAAAAGTGTGTGACGTTCGTAATTTTGAAGCTTGCTATTTCGGTTTTGTTTCTTTCTTTATGTGTATTTTGTCGGTGGTTTATTACAGTGATTTTTAAGCAATTTTCAATAAATTTTTTGTGCAAATGTAATTAAAATGAAGTGCGCGGTGATTGGTGGCAAAAACACGTTGGTTAGCACAAACATGAGTTGCAAAATTGCTTGCATTTTTTTCTTTATGCTTCGTCTTCATATTCTTTGTTTACTTTTCAAAGAAAATAACATGGCGCCGAAATTACAAACGACAGCCAGAAAATTACTTTTTTCTTTTGCTTCATCTTGCTTGTAAAACCGAAATGGCGTATTAAAAGTGATAAAATATGACTTCCATTTCGATAAATAATCGAAAAAAACTAGTGAAGATACCGATTGGAATGAGTGGAAGTAAGTTTTGATGTAGTTTTCGACGAAAACTGGTTTTTGTTTGACAGATTTTACATGGACAAGAACACAAGTTTTACTTACAAAGTGTACGCACGAGGCGATGTTGCGTTCAACTCTCGCAGGGTTACACGAAAAAAAAGTTGAATGGCTAAATGTTGGCTGGCGACCAACTTTGTTGAAAGCGATTAGTTGAAAGGCCGTTCAAACAAAAATAGAATGCAAAGTTGAACAATGCAAATGCTTTTTTATGGTAAATATTTTGATATTTCTTTATATTTTGATATTTATAGCCATTCAATTTTTTTTTTCGTGCAACCCTGCGTGAGTTGAACGAAAAAGTTGCCTGAAAAATCGCCTCGTGCAAAAGCCCTATTAGGGTTTACACCGGACAATACCCCGTAGCGAATGTCATGCATTAGTCACTTAAGAGTCTTTTACGGAAAAATTACGTCTTAAATGACTTTTGGCTCCGTTTGTATAGAAGTCGTTCATGAGTTTTTCATATAAATGGTAATTTCATCGTTGATGTCATCTGCATGACTTGGTCATACAGTGATCATTAATGACATTCAAGCGACAGTATCTTGCAATGGACTTTTTATAAGTGACCGCTGGAAGACATTGTATGTTATAAGTCTTTGATAGGCGTACACCTGCATGACATTGTCACCAGTGTCATTGTCAGCTGTATGTCGTTTAGGATTCACAGCAAGTGCGACTATGTCACTAAATCCTCATTAGTGACGATGTCACCGGTGACCATTTTCGCTACTGGGTACTGTCATGACAATAGCAATACATGCAATTTTGAAAGCTAATACGTATATCTTCATTGTTGGTCAGAACATGGTATTATGAATTAACTGTCAAAATTTGTATGAAAACATTTTTACACATTTCTGATAAATTTCTCTAGCGATTTCACTGAATAAACTTGATCAATTGAAGCCAATGCAACTCTGTCGCAACTCTAGCTGTGTTTTCTTGGCAATAATCGGGATCCGCACAAAAATTTTGCACGCAAATTCAGCAACAATGATATGATCCTGACAGAGATCTCTTTCAATTCATTATCCTTTCTGTTTTGTTTTATTCACTGATAATTTGGCAGCACAGTTTGGTAGCAGTGACAAATAAATTCATACACAACCCTGCAAAAATTGCGACTAATCTATGCATGCATGTAAAGAGTACTCCCTAAGGACCAAGGAGTCCTCCAAAATTAACCACAATTCATATAAAAAATATGGTCCAATTAACATTGCGATGTCCTAGGGCAAGACCATATACTCCATCTCTACATTACATTAGAGTAGCACAAAACTACTCCAACATATTAACAATGGCATTGTTGTTATATTTTTTCGTTTGCACACGCTTTTGTTCTTCACTTCTCAAATGCTTTTTCGAAATCAATAAAAACCAAGACAAAAAATAAAAATTACATGTTGCCTCTGACGGCATTCGAACCCGAACATGCTCGGAGCTAAGAACTAACAGCGAGCATCTCTACACGTTCAGCTACAGCCAGACATGCAAATGTGCTTTCAAATGCTCAACTTCAATCACATTTCGTTAAAACACGAGTAGTGATCGGATAACAAACAATAAGCTGGCGCAGAGACACGAGTTGGTCGCTACAGCATGACAGAGGAACACTTTTGTAAGTACTCCAATTTACCACAAATAGACTACATGGTGCCACGATTTTTGCAGGGAAACAGACATTTTGCCACTGTTTATTTTAACTTGCTTCAATTAAATCGCATTTATGTTAAATATTTATTTGAATGAGTATTATCTCGTCTGATTATAATTTTTTCCCATTTAGTGAGGTCATTTCTAAAACTTCTTAATCTTCGTGCTAGTAGTATAAAATGACTGATAATGAGCTCGATAACCAAAGAAAACACGACGATTGTGTCGCAAGTGTAAATGAAAGGAAAGCATGGGACGTTCATGTAACAGAGTGCTTAAATTTATAAGAATATGTGCTTGCGATTTAGTGATAAAAAGAACAATTTGAATTAAATTTTCATACGACGGGAGAAAATGCCATTATCAACACTGATCGAAATACACCATATACTCGGTACTTGGTAGAGGTACTCGGGTATATACATACTTCTAAGCAGTGTTGCAGTTAAGCGATTAAAAGGGCAATTAGACCCTTTTTAATCGCCAATACCCTTTGGCCCGCCTTTTTAAAAATTCAGATTTTTTGACACTTTTCCAAAATTTTGTGCGACTGTCCCGCTGTTTTCTTTTAAATTCCGCAGCGGAACAGCGGCGAAACAGCGAAAAGGCTTTATAATATGTACATGTAAGTTTGATTTTGACCTTGAATTGTTTTAGTAGTAACGAAAAGCAAAAATAATGTGGCCCTTTTTTCGTCAATGACCTCTTTTTTGGGACTTTGTGAAAAAGGCACCACTGCTTCCAAGGAATGGCAGTACTGGTATCGAAACATCACTAATAGTTGGTAACGCAGCAGATTGGTAAATTTTGTCAGACTTCGCTTTTTGGGTTTACATTTTAATTAATTTCAATTTTATGCTAAACACCTAAATTATTTTGGAAAATTTATGAAACGTTTAAAAGTAAGTGATAACTTTTGAAATTGGACATGTCTGCGCCAGATATAATGAAAAGTGCGGTGCCCGTTGCGACTGATGCAAACAATGCACCGGTGGGAGCTGTCACTGTTACCTCAAGTGCACCCGTCATAACTACCGGAACTCCATTTCGCGTAAAAAGTTTACAGGCCATGAATACACCAGCACCAGTAGGCGAAGCAGCTGCCGGTACAAATTCTACGTTAGCTACCAAGGGAAAACCATTACCCAAAGCCCCTGAAGCGTTTTATCGCGACCTACAACAATTTCACGAGCGTCGTTCGTAAGTACACATTTTTTCACAGATTATATTGCTCGCATTTTGTTAATTATATATTTCCATTGTCTTTAGCACACCTATAATGCATATGCCTAAAATTAGTGGTCGTGAAGTGGATCTACACCGACTTTACAGTGAAGTGACTGAACGTGGTGGCTTCAGCAAGGTAAATCAACGTGACGAATGGGACGATGTTTTGCCGGAATTAGGAATACGCGATAAATGCGTAAATGCGACAGCTGCAATTAAGTATATTTACAGACGCTGCCTGGAAAAGTATGAACGCCAGACATTTTTTGGTGAAGATCCGGACAAATTAGAAGCTCTTGAATCTGCCGACGCCATGGACGGCGGTGCGCGTTCGCGAAACCGATACCCTACTTCCGTATATGCAAGCAGCGGCGGTAATGTGGTTGTGAACACTGTGCCCATGTCTTACAATTACCGACAACATATTGTGAATATGGATCGCCGGCGTACCTATAAATTGTCAACGGATTTGCATAAAGCCTCGCCGTACGAAAAGCTAATGCTTTCGCTTATTTCACCGCTTCCTAATGAACAAGACTTTGCCATTAATGTTTGTTCATTAATGGCCAACGAAAGTAAGCATACATTAAAGTTGAATGAGCATCCTAAAATGATGGATGTACTGCTCGCTCATACTGGCGTCTTCTCGGATTACACATTGAGAAAATTATTCCAACACATTTACACACAAGTTCGCGAACATTCCCTTTTTGAATTTTGGCGTGATCTTTTGCGAGATAAACCACATGTTTTGGACTTATACACTGATGAACAGGCTATGCGCGAAGCTGGTCTCATCGATGATGAAGATATTATTATGGACTCTAAAAAGCTTGCTTATTTCGAGGATTCTAGTGACTTAGACTTCTTAAACTTGGGGCGGGGTGAGGGCACACAGGAGTATGTGGGCCAACGAATTCAGCAAATTGTGACCATCTTTCGAAATCTTAGCTTCTTTGAAGAAAATTTGCATGTTTTTGCAAAAAATCGCACTTTTTTGCGCTTTATAGTAATGGGCGCAAACATACGCTGGGGTAATTTACACAACCAAATATTGGATATAGCGGGAAATATAGCAACCGAAATCGAACTCACAGATCCCTCTACGGACGAAGTCTCGCGCAGTCTTTTGGCAACCCTTTGTGACGGCATTGAGAGCATGGATCGCGGAGTCATTATCAATAGCATGGAGATATTGTACAAATTGTGTCAGAAGGATAGCAATGAGGATCACATTAACAAGTGTTTGAGTTTACAATTTTATGAAACAATTTGCCAATTTCTAAGCCTCAATGATATCATGCTGCTGATATTTACCCTGGAAGCTATCTTCGCTCTTACTTCAATGGGTAATCGATCCTGTCATCTTATAATGCAAGTGCGAGGCATAGTTGACCAATTAGTCTCCTTGATAACAGTCGAAGCACAGTCATACGGGCCGGACGGTTGTATTCTAATGAGAGTTGTGGAAACAGTGCCGGGAAATATGTTGCCAATGGTTGCTCAAAATATTGCGAATTTGCAAAATGCTGCAGTAATACAGAAACCACCAACACATGTGCTCGCTCTGCCAATGCAGCTGCCAGCACCTCAGCCGCCAGTTCCGATTCCCGTAATTCTGCCTCAGATAAATTCCTCGATAATAACCCATCCGCAGTTACCGACTGTGCCACTGCCTTCTGATTCTACAGATTCTGTTCCAAATCTACAACAGCAAACACCTATCATTGACCAGACAATTAGTACACATTCACAAACAACAGCACCGCAGCAACAACCCACAACAGCGCAACAACAAACACCAGCGGCAACACATCATCAACCAAATCCGCCCCAAAACTTCACTCCCGAAGACGAACAATATGCATTGACCTGGCTAGGAGCTACGGTCGAACGTACGCCAACTGCAGAGAGTCATGTTGAGCAACAGGAGCTATATCGCATGTACTTAGCACACTGTCAAAAGTACGGCAAGCATTCCGTGGTGAATAATGTACAATTTCCACGACTTGTGCGTTTGATTTACAGCAGCGGCGTGGGTCCTGTCTCCGTGCGTCTCAACGATGGCACCGATTTGGCAGGTCTTTACTATGTCGGCATTCGTTTACGCACACAGTCTTTACCAATACAAACCACCAAAACACTGCTAACCCAGCCAAAGCTACAGGAAGGTAAATTGCCTACAAAGCCAGCTGCAAATGATAGTACAGTCTTTGCTGCAGCTTCTGGTCGAAAACTGAAAAAGAAGCCGAAATCGCAGCAAGACGCAGACGTAACATCTGGAGAAGCATCAAACGGCACTTCAGTTTCCACCACAGGGACAACAGCTACTCAAGAGTCAGATAACACTAATCAAAATGTGAAAGATGAAGTGCCATCAATAGCTACAACAACTTCAAGCAATTCAACAGTTGGCGGCAATTCTGTGTTACTAGTTCAATCTGGAAGCACATCCTCTGCGCATTCTATAGCTTTGCAACAATCCGCAGATACATCTGCTCAACCGTCTACGTCTCTAATTAAAAGTTTATTAGCCAACAAAGTGACCCAGCGTCAGCAAAAAAATCAAAAGGAATTGAATACAAATACCACAGGCCCACAGCAGGCACAGTCAAGCACATCGACAAATGTTTCAGCAATCGCGCAAGCGCAGCAGCCTATAAAAGTCGCTAGCACCGCTATAAGTGCTTTGGTAAATAATCCGCTAATGCAAAATACCCCTGTAAAGGTTGGACAAACCACAATAAAACCATTAAACGCACAAATTCCACTGGAAAAGAAGACAATATTAGAGTCTACACCCCCGCCATTGGCACCGCTCAGCGGTAATAACGTCGCCAAGGATTCTAGTGGGCGTCCAGTGATAATTACTAATCAAACAACAACCGCTATCGTCAAGCGCAAATTAGAAGATAGCTCGGAGCCTGCAAAACGCATGGCTTTAAATCCGTTGAGTAGCAAAGAGGAAGATCAAGTAACTCCATCGAAGAATGCCGCAAATTTATATGCCGAGATGGCTGCGTCCATACTTGAAGATGAGGATCTCGAAGATATACCACCGCTACCGACGGTATCAACAGCACCATCGACATCTACCCCCGCAGCACAGTCAACATTGACTGAACCAATACAGCAGCAACAGCCTCAGCAAATTCTTATACCAGCTAAAATTCAACAGGCCACCGTACAGGGCGTACAACGACAGCTCCTTTTCCAGACGAATCAGCCACCTCAACTAAAACTTACTACACATAGTGGGGTTGCGTCGCCAGCAACGCAGCTGCCCACAGCCATGGCTACCATAAAAACCGATCAGGGTTTGCAAACCGTACCGGTAATTCTACAGCAGAAGGCGCTTGAACAACCGCAACAGCAACAACTTATACAACAAGTTATCACACAAAATGTACCACAGTCAGCGCCGCAACAGCAGCCAACTCAATATGTACTAGCCACAAATCAACAGGGTCAGACCTATCTTGTGGCACAGCAGCCGCAACCACCCCAACCTCCCCCACAGCAAACAGTTTTGGTCACACAAACGCCACAACAGCAATCGGCCGGTACTAAAACAATTATTATTTTACAACAACAATCGCTGCCGGGTCAACAATCACATCAACCACAGCCGCAGCTGATTGCTGGCGCACCACAAAAAATGATAATGACAACTTCTCAGGGACAGCAAGTGCTCGTAACACAGCGTCCACAACCTGCTCTGCCCGCGCCTACAACACAGCAATACTTCATAAATCCACAAACAGGCACTGCCACACATATTCAACATGTACCGGTTTCTAGCAGTGGCATCTCTACCAGCGTATCGGGCAACAACCAACTACTGCAGCGGCATCAAATATTATCTACGCAGTCAACTAATAATTCTACCACGCAGTCGACCACGGGACAGATTTCGCCGTCATTGCTGTCGCAACTCAACCATATCCCAGCTACCATAAAGCTTCATCAACCGCAAATGCCTGCAACAACAGTACAATCATCGGCACATCAGCACCAAACGGCGACAATTTCACGTTTGGGCAAGACGGTTTCTATTGTGCAGGCAACACCGGCTTTGGCACCGCCACCGCCTCCCATTCAAATACCACAACTGCAACAACATCAATCGATTATACAACAACACATCATATCGGGGCCATCTGAGAAACGGCAGATGATACTTGGTGGAAGAGCTATCGAAATAAAGGAGACGGTGATTACACAAGCACCACCGCCAGCACAGCAAAGTCAATTAAACTCCCAAACCATTATAACAAAACAAGTATTACCGCAGCAACAACAACAGCAACAGTCACAACAAATGCGCGCTGTCATAGAGCAACCACATCCCTCGATTATACAACAGAAATTCACCTTGCAACAGCAACCACAAAAGGTAAGTAAAACTTTTAAATGTAATATTTAATTTGTGTACAGAAAATAATATAGCGATGCCAGGGTATAAATGTAGAAATAAAGATAAGAACAACCACCCCAATGACAATGCATTGTTCCAGTTGTCTACTACCAAACAGCATGCATGCAATGGATGTGTGCATTCTCAGGCATTAGTACTTAGGTACTTACGAGTCAATAATATACTGGGAATGAAAGTTAGTATTTCATCTACCACCAAAGCTTGCCAGTAACTTCTAGCTCTGTCGCTGGGGTGTGGTTATAGTAATTCTGAGAATTTCGAGGAATTTTAATAAATCAACATATCAAATTAGATATTTCTCTATGAATATTAGTTAACTTGTCTCTTTTTTTAGACCGGCGAGCATCCCAGTTTAATTCAAGCCACTTTACCGGTCAAACCACAGCCTGTGGTTCAGACTGTAGTCCAGCAACCAGCACCCTCGCAGTCGCCATTGCCAGGCAATAAAGCACCGGCTGTTCAACCAGTTAGAGCACCAACACCACAGCAACAGCAACAGCAACAACAACAAGTTTCGGTTTCTTCTGCCAACAACAAGCCAATTGGCTCCGATCCACCACCACTAGCGCAGTCTACACGCCCAACAATTGGCGTTCATCCACAGCAGCAACAGTTTCAACAGAATGAAACTGCAAATACGGGGGCCAATTCGTCATTGACAACAACTGCTGCGAGTGCATCTACAGTCGCTACAACAACTGCAGTTGCAGCATCAAATTCGAGTACGCCGCCACCGCCATCAAACGTGGCTAGCACGTCGCAAACCCCAATACCCAAACCGACACTTCCCGTCCCCCTACTGCCCCAAGTGCAGTTGCCGCCAGGAGTGGTAGCGGGTGCAGCAGCAAATGCAACACCACCATTAGATCCTAACTGGCTTTTCGTTTGCGATTGGCGCAATTGTCCGCGACGCAAGTATAAATCACTTAACGACTTGCAACATCATGCTTGCTCGCTGCATTGCCCTGACCACCTGGATCCCGCAGCGGAGATCTTTTGTCAATGGGGTGTGGGTCCTGGACTTTGCGATGGCATACCACGTAAACGTTTTTCGCTGATGACACACATCATAGATCGACATTTGACGAACGAAAGTTTACGCGCCGCAATGCAACGACGCATTGCAACGGGCACGGTCAATCTGCAACCGTCGCAGCCGCCGGTAACAATCGTACGGAACGTAGAGGCTGCCCAAGCGCAGGCGCAACGCAACAATTCTTCCTCGCCAGCGCCATCGACTTCGTCCTCATCCTCAGGTTCACAGCCGACTGGCATTGGAAGTGCCACAGGCAGTTCAGCTTTGCACGCCATTAAGCGACATACGGCGGATTATGTTAATCCCAAGGAGTTAATGGACGAAAATGAAGGTCCGGTAACGAAAAGTATACGGCTAACCGCCGCTTTGATATTAAGGAATCTCGTTACATACACCAACACTGCAAAACGTGACTTGCGTCGTTACGAGCCGCATCTGTCCAATGTTGCTTTGAGCAATGTAGAATCTAGTGGCGCAGTTTCGCATATTCTATTTGAAATGAACAATTAATTGCATGTATGACTGGACCATATTCTGCAATTTTTACTTAACATTTTCTACATCTTTAAGTATGTACGGTACATAACATAAAATAACAAAGCATTTCAAACAGCTATTTTGATTTAACCATAAATTACGCCTTTCCAAGTTTACCAGGCTATCCTGGGTACATTTATACTTTATTAATTAAAAATAAATATTAAAGAAAATGGAATTTGTTTTATTAAGATTAAAAGGAAAATGTGTAATTGTCAAGTTCCTTATGGTAAATCCAAGTCCAATAAATTCTTTTTGAATGTCTGCAATGCATTTTCATATCTTTTCAACTTCTCGATGACTTCCAATTTTTCTTGTACATAATACTCTTTGGGCATTTGCACATACTCCTCACCCTTGAAAATAAAACACGTAACTGCTTTTGAGTCCACCAATGTATCCGGGTCAATTTTCTGAGCTTCGGGTTGTGGAGTGCTTGGCTTTTTGTTTTGCAGTCGCAAGTGTTTAATGTGTTCCCCGTCTTCCTGCTTTCCGCTTCGA